TGCATGTGGGATCCTAACCCTCGGGCGGGAGCGCCGCCGCGCTTCCCAAGCGGCGCACTATCCAGTGCGCCACCGGGCCGGCCCTTATACATATAATTTTAAAATTATTTTTTAACAAAGATAACACTATTTTTGCAAAATAAGAAATCTCTTTATATTTTAGCCTAATCTGGGCAAAGTTAACTACTTGAGAATGAGATAGTAAAAGGGTAACATCTACTTTAATATTTTGGGATTAAATCGAGGATTTAATGTTCAGAAACAAGGCTTGTAAAACTGTGGGTTTTGTTTCCAAATCTAGATCTGAACAAATTCAACTACAGTTATGATCCAGAATTTTCAGAATTTTAAGAGTGAAAACTAGGTGATGTGGGATGCTGTGGTGATGAGGTGGAGAAGTGGGTATATCACTTTAAGGCAGAATTGTAGAATTTGGAGAATACATGGACATTTTGTCTGGAATTAAATATTGTACAATTGTCATTCATAAATTCAAGAAACAGAATCCTTGAGATATGGGACATGGGACTCTTTGTAGGGTTACAACACTATACTTATGCCCATGGGGCACAGGGAGTACCTACCAGAGACAGCTACAATCACACATTTGGCAGCTACAGCTGACACTGAGAGGGGACGATCAACCAGTTGGCACAGGCCAAGGCAGCTGCCTCAGTATTCACATTAGGAACTGGGATGGGAAGTTAGTAAGTTAATGTTTATGATACATGGGCAGTAATAACACCAATAATTTAAAAAAGTGGCACTGCCACAACAAATGTTAAGTATAAACTATGTACCACCTTAACATAAGCTGGACGCTTTTTCATTAGTAGGAATGACTAAACTATTACAAAATAAATGATGATCTTATATAAGGTATTGCGTTGTGAAATTCCAATATTCCATACAGGTCAATATTCCCTCTACGAACTGTCTTCCTCCCCAGCCACCTTGGGAATTTAAGCATGGTAGAAATGAAGAATAAAATGCCTCTAGTCTTTGAAGACACTATTTCTAATTTGTGGAAAACAATGTAGGCAGAAAGCGACAAAGCTACTAAAGGAGGATTTCAAAAGTATAGTAACAAATCAACTGTAGAAAGACATTTTCAGGACAATTGAGGAAATATGAATATGAAACGGTTATTAGATGATACTGAAGAATTATCATTAATTTTGTTAGGTGTGATAATGAGATTGTGCTTATGTAAGAAAACATTAACCACTCTCTGGCAATGCATACTCTAGTATTTAGGGATGAAATGTCATGATGTCTGTGATTTACTTTGAAGTACTTCAGCGAAAGATGTAGATGAAGCTAAAATGGCAAAATATGAATGTTAAATATGGGAATATGGTAGTTCTTTATACTCTGCTCTCTATCGTTACGTAGATTTAAAATTTTTTATAATAAAACTTCGACAAAGTACGGGTAAAAAAGTTCGAAAGGGCAAAAAAAGTTACAGATGGTTATCGAATATTGCAAATTAATTCATGCTAACAATACCTACTTTAATCACGTCACATCTGGGTGTTTCAGTTCACGTATCTAGAAGATGAAGGGATTAGACTAGTTGATTGCTTTGTCCTTTTCAGTTATGAGATGCTATACAACAGAGACCATTACTCAGATGCCAAGCTGGTATTTCAAATTAATGAGTTGGTGAAGTTTTACCGGTCTAAAGGGGGCGCCTGCCCAGCTGCCTTGTGATAGTGTGGGCTCTGTCATCTAGCCTTTTTCCAGAGGAGGAAACACAGATTTTAACGTGAAACCCCACTTCTTTAGATGTTAACAAATGAAAATGCAAAGAAAAATAAGAGTGTAGTAGTGGCGTAGGAGGACCACTAAACTCTGCGCGGTTTTTAGATGTTAACAAATGAAAATGCAAAGAAAAATAAGAGTGTAGTAGTGGCGTAGGAGGACTAAACTCTGCGCGGTCCACCGTATGCAAGACATCGCAAAGGGGCAGGTAACTGTGAGGAAGGCCAAAAGATGATTGAAACAGACGAAGTGCAACATCCAGCAATGATTCCAGGGAGTGAATTCTGTGTCAAAATACCGGTCTACCTTGGTTTAGGATTACTTTTACCCCCAGTAGTAGTTGAAACCTACACAACTCAGCAAACACCACTTGAAAAATAAATTCGGTTTACTAGCTTTGTTAGCTCGCATCTTTCCAGACATTCGGACTGCTCCACTCCGGTACTTTGTGGTCCTCCAGCCGGCTCCAGGGGCCACAGATCTTACACCCTCCGGTGGCGCTGGGGCAGCTTCCGGAGTTGCCCTTCGGTGGAAAGTTATGCAGCCGCCTGGCAACCCCCGGGAACCTGGGAAGAGAGGACTTGCTTCGCTTTCCTCAGCGCTCAACAAGGTTCCTCGGGCTTTTGGTAGGAAGTTCTCAACCGGAAGTTTCGCCTAGCGGCCGCAGCGCTTCCTGCTTGGTAACTAAGGGCGCGGGACGGTTGCTAGGGCTGTGTGGCAGCCCCCGCGGAGCTGTGCGTGCTTCGGTTTTACGCGGGTGAGGCCCGGCCGCGCTACGAGAAGGCGGGTCTTTCCTCTGCACAGTGTCGGGGGTCCCCGTCAGTCTGCCGTCATGACTAGCGAATTCCTGGCGGAGCTGCATTGGGAGGATGGGTTCGCCATCCCGGTGGCGAATGAGGAGAACAAGATACTGGAAGATCAGGTGAGGAGGAGGCGAGGACGGCGCGGGGAACGAGCGCGGGTGTGTTGGGCGCGGTTTCTGTCCGGCAGCACCGCCCCAGCCCTTCACTTCTCTCCTTTCCGTCCCCAATCCCGACTCTTCTCTGTCTAACGCTCTCCGCGCTATCCCCCTCTTCCCTTCCCCTGCCCGACCTTTTCGGTAATTGTTAAGCATTCTAAATTTTTATCGAAACAGTAATCGATATTCAGTGTTTTAAAGCCCGAATCATTACTTCCTTCCTCTCGCCCACTCCCCTTACTCTTTTCTAGCCTCTGGGCAGGAGAGGAAAGGCGGGTTCCCGCGCCGGTGCTTTCCTCCCTCGAAATTAAGCGCTGCTTGGAAAAGGGACTTCAGAGGTTTGAGTAGCAACAGTCATTTGCGCGCGTTTATAAACAAAACACGTTTTGGTTTATTTCTTTGTGAGTTTCTGCTGTGATGTTTAAAGCTGAAAGTGACTTGAGATGTTTTCAAGAAGGACATTCTAGTAAGAATGTAAAACGTGCAGTTTAGAGTTTTTCAAAGTGACAATTAAGTTGTCATAGATTGACACAAAATATTTTACGTTGTAAGGATGAATTTAAGCCAACTGCAATTCATAACTTGAAAAAATTGCAACCGGCTTAGCAAACTTTTAAAAGCCTTTAGCAGCCAGTCTAAAGTCCCATCCCATGGTGATATGTTGTGTGAAAGAGGGTCCGAGAGGAACGGATGATGCTTAGACATTTTTATAAAATAGAACAGATAATTTTCTCTCTTCTGACACATGAAAATGAAAATCTCTTGACTCTGTTTTGGGAAGAATGAAAACGCTTTTTACAGCATTCTGACGTATGAACGTATAACTAATTTCAAAGGTCGCATCTTATAAAATAGAACAGATAATTTTCTCTCTTCTGACACATGAAAATGAAAATCTCTTGACTCTATGTTTTTGGAAGAATGAAAACGCTTTTTACAGCATTCTGACGTATGAACGTATAACTAATTTCAAAGGTCGCATCTTTTTTTTTTCCAAAGAAGGACAATATTAGGAAATATAAGAGATTTATCACTGAGTACTGAGGAATAATAATATTAAGTATCCGTCCCTAGGTTCAGATCCTACATACCAGCCCTGATCCTTTTTCTTCTTCTGCAAAATGAAGACGAGTATAATAATTACCTCATGGGGTTGTTATAAAGCTCTAAGGACATAATGTAGGTTAAAATTCCATACAAATGTTAGTTTTTAGTATTATTGCTATACTATTTAAAAAAATTTTTTTTCCAGCAGGCCAGTATGGGATGCTATACTATGTGTCTTACAGGATTTAACATACATATATTAGCTATTTAAAACATTTGCAAAGCAGTAAAAAGAAGAAAAATGAGATCGTAATTTCTTCATCTTAATAAACTGACATTAAAAAGGCAACTCTTGTAAATTTAAGATAGCCAGACAGAAAAGAAAAGTATAAAATAAACATATAAGATATTGCATCCTCAAAGTTGATCATAGAAGTGACTGTCATGGCATTAAAGAAATATTTTAGACATCTTGGTATACAGATACACAGAAAGAAGAGACAAACAGGAGGATTATAAACATAGAATCCTGTTATATATGCTGTTTTTAACAGCAAGCATATATAAATATTAACTTAATTTAAAGCATATGAAGTTAATTTAAATAATAACTTTAGTATTTGGGAGAAGAAAAAGAAAGGAATTGTTGAATTTCAGGTAAATATTGCTTGGATCACTAGAGGCACTGATCGCTAAAAAATTCTTATAAGGCAAGAAAAACTACTTAAATTAAATGGTTAAATTATTATTTTTAAAAACTCTATGTTTCAATTATGGACAGTACTGATTAACTACCTGCTTTGAAAAATGAAGAAATTAGCACTCTTACACTTTTCCACACTTCTTTTCCCATTTTAAAAATTATGGTTTTATTTGTATGTTATCAAGGTTTATTTTATTTGCATTTGGTTCAGTGTCCTTAATTTATCACAAGTGTTTAGTCTTAGTTTTATATTTAAATTGATTTATTAGTTTGCAATGCAGCCACTTTTATTCAGTCTATCTTTTCTTGATTTTTCATTTTGTTAATCTTCTGGCTGGCTGTATTTTATCCTTAGGTGATTGTTTCAAGAAAGGTGCATGGTACTGTGCTTTTTATTCCTTGCATTCCAGATTGTCAGTCTATTTCTATGCATTGCCTGCTTTAAGTTTATATACCTTAAGTCAGAATATGGGATCTTCAGGAAATTCCTCCACTTCGTCCACCACCCCCCTTCTCTAGAGTCCTGTGTTTTCCAACAAGGACTGATTTCCCCACAGGTCTATTTCACAACTGTTAACTTAAGAATTCCCTTTATATCTCTACTGAATTGAGGCTTTATTTTCTAGGTCACATACCTTCCTTCTGGTATTCTTCGCTTATTTTGATAGAATACTTTCTTATGTCTCCTAAGAGGGTTGTGTCGGAGGTAAACACTCTGAAATGCTTGAATCTTTGAAAATGTCTTAATGCTTATATTTGATGATAGTTTGGCTGGGTAAAAAACTCTAGGTTGACATAATTTTTCCTCAGAATTTGGAATGTATTGACCTGTTATCTTGCAGCAGTGTTGGTTAGTAATCTGATGTTAGTTTGATTTCCATTTCTTTGTAGGTTAACTTTAAAAAAAATCTCTGGAGGCATTTACGGTTTTATCTTTCCATAGCATGTTTTATTTGGAAGCTATATTGATCAAGTATATTTTCAAGTTCTTTGCTTATTGCTTTTTTATAGCAACATAGTCTTGTTTTAGGGGTATAATAGTTCCAGTCTCTCTGTGTGTGCGTTTGTGTCTGTCTGTGTTTAGTTCTTTTATTTTGTGTCCAGAATTATCTGTTTTCTCTGGGATCTTATTTGTTTATTTTGATATCTTTCACATAATGTAAGTTTTCAATAAATATTTGGTGATCCTTATATGTCCTTTCAATTTAAGAAGGAAGCAATAAAATTTTGTTTGTGAACTCCATGGTGAAGGGCTTGTCAACTTGTGGAGAGTTAATCATTATGCTTTTATTTAAAAAGCAGAAGTTTCACTTTGGGGACATTATGCAATGATAAAAGGCATGATTGATGAAGCAAATAAAAGTCATAAAGATGTATGTACCAAACAGCACAACAGCTAATTACATAAAAAAGCTATTATAAATGCAAGTAAATACAGTTGTGGTGAGATACTTCATTAATGACCTCCTCGGAATTAGACAACTCTAATAGATAAAAATAAGGATCTAAAGGATATGAATAATACAATAAAAATAAAAATGTACAGAATGTATATCCCTTGAATAGAGAATATGCACTTTACAAAATATGTCAATAAAACATTTACAAGAGTGGCTTGTGTACTAGACCAAAACAAAAACTTTAATGTATTAAAAGTGGATAATAAATCTTGAAGGCATTATGCTGAATGTAATAAGCCAGACACAAATTGATAAATATTATATGATTGCACTTATATGAGGTACCTAGAGTAGTCAAATTCATAGAGACAAAAAGTGGAATGGTGGTTGCTGGCACTGGGGGAAGGGGGAATGGGGAGTTAGTGTTTTATGGGTACAGAGTTTCAGATGGGAAAGATCAAAGTTCTGGAGATGGATGGTGATGATGTTTGCACAACGATATGAATGTACTTAATGTTACTTAACTGTATATTTAAAAAATAGTTAAAATGGTAAATTTATGTTGTATATTTTATATCATAGTTAAATCTTTATAATCTCTAAAATGCTATACAAATAGGTCACATTCTTTGATTGTAACCCATAGAATTTATAATAAATAATTTAAAAATATTTTTAAAATTATTTATTAAATAACTAAAAATGATCCTCGATTTGAATAATACTTAAAAGATTAGTTAATTTTAGAAATTCATATGGGCATTTAAAGAAGCAAAGTGCGGGCCGGCCCGGTGGCGCACTGGAGAGTGCGCCGCTTGGGAGCGCGGTGGCGCTCCTGCCGAGGGTTCGGATCACATGTACAGACCAGTTCCCGCTCACTGGCTGAGCGCGGTGCGGGCGCAACACCGAGGGTTGCGATCCCGTTGCTGGTCCGATCCCGTTGCTGGTCCGATCCCGTTGCTGGTCCGATCCCGTTGCTGGTCCGATCCCGTTGCTGGTCCGATCCCGTTGCTGGTCCGATCCCGTTGCTGGTCCGATCCCGTTGCTGGTCCGATCCCGTTGCTGGTCCGATCCCGTTGCTGGTCCGATCCCGTTGCTGGTCCGATCCCGTTGCTGGTCCGATCCCGTTGCTGGTCCGATCCCGTTGCTGGTCCGATCCCGTTGCTGGTCCGATCCCGTTGCTGGTCCGATCCCGTTGCTGGTCCGATCCCGTTGCTGGTCCGATCCCGTTGCTGGTCCGATCCCGTTGCTGGTCCGATCCCGTTGCTGGTCCGATCCCGTTGCTGGTCCGATCCCGTTGCTGGTCCGATCCCGTTGCTGGTCCGATCCCGTTGCTGGTCCGATCCCGTTGCTGGTCCGATCCCGTTGCTGGTCCGATCCCGTTGCTGGTCCGATCCCGTTGCTGGTCCGATCCCGTTGCTGGTCCGATCCCGTTGCTGGTCCGATCCCGTTGCTGGTCCGATCCCGTTGCTGGTCCGATCCCGTTGCTGGTCCGATCCCGTTGCTGGTCCGATCCCGTTGCTGGTCCGATCCCGTTGCTGGTCCGATCCCGTTGCTGGTCCGATCCCGTTGCTGGTCCGATCCCGTTGCTGGTCCGATCCCGTTGCTGGTCCGATCCCGTTGCTGGTCCGATCCCGTTGCTGGTCCGATCCCGTTGCTGGTCCGATCCCGTTGCTGGTCCGATCCCGTTGCTGGTCCGATCCCGTTGCTGGTCCGATCCCGTTGCTGGTCCGATCCCGTTGCTGGTCCGATCCCGTTGCTGGTCCGATCCCGTTGCTGGTCCGATCCCGTTGCTGGTCCGATCCCGTTGCTGGTCCGATCCCGTTGCTGGTCCGATCCCGTTGCTGGTCCGATCCCGTTGCTGGTCCGATCCCGTTGCTGGTCCGATCCCGTTGCTGGTCCGATCCCGTTGCTGGTCCGATCCCGTTGCTGGTCCGATCCCGTTGCTGGTCCGATCCCGTTGCTGGTCCGATCCCGTTGCTGGTCCGATCCCGTTGCTGGTCCGATCCCGTTGCTGGTCCGATCCCGTTGCTGGTCCGATCCCGTTGCTGGTCCGATCCCGTTGCTGGTCCGATCCCGTTGCTGGTCCGATCCCGTTGCTGGTCCGATCCCGTTGCTGGTCCGATCCCGTTGCTGGTCCGATCCCGTTGCTGGTCCGATCCCGTTGCTGGTCCGATCCCGTTGCTGGTCCGATCCCGTTGCTGGTCCGATCCCGTTGCTGGTCCGATCCCGTTGCTGGTCCGATCCCGTTGCTGGTCCGATCCCGTTGCTGGTCCGATCCCGTTGCTGGTCCGATCCCGTTGCTGGTCCGATCCCGTTGCTGGTCCGATCCCGTTGCTGGTCCGATCCCGTTGCTGGTCCGATCCCGTTGCTGGTCCGATCCCGTTGCTGGTCCGATCCCGTTGCTGGTCCGATCCCGTTGCTGGTCCGATCCCGTTGCTGGTCCGATCCCGTTGCTGGTCCGATCCCGTTGCTGGTCCGATCCCGTTGCTGGTCCGATCCCGTTGCTGGTCCGATCCCGTTGCTGGTCCGATCCCGTTGCTGGTCCGATCCCGTTGCTGGTCCGATCCCGTTGCTGGTCCGATCCCGTTGCTGGTCCGATCCCGTTGCTGGTCCGATCCCGTTGCTGGTCCGATCCCGTTGCTGGTCCGATCCCGTTGCTGGTCCGATCCCGTTGCTGGTCCGATCCCGTTGCTGGTCCGATCCCGTTGCTGGTCCGATCCCGTTGCTGGTCCGATCCCGTTGCTGGTCCGATCCCGTTGCTGGTCCGATCCCGTTGCTGGTCCGATCCCGTTGCTGGTCCGATCCCGTTGCTGGTCCGATCCCGTTGCTGGTCCGATCCCGTTGCTGGTCCGATCCCGTTGCTGGTCCGATCCCGTTGCTGGTCCGATCCCGTTGCTGGTCCGATCCCGTTGCTGGTCCGATCCCGTTGCTGGTCCGATCCCGTTGCTGGTCCGATCCCGTTGCTGGTCCGATCCCGTTGCTGGTCCGATCCCGTTGCTGGTCCGATCCCGTTGCTGGTCCGATCCCGTTGCTGGTCCGATCCCGTTGCTGGTCCGATCCCGTTGCTGGTCCGATCCCGTTGCTGGTCCGATCCCGTTGCTGGTCCGATCCCGTTGCTGGTCCGATCCCGTTGCTGGTCCGATCCCGTTGCTGGTCCGATCCCGTTGCTGGTCCGATCCCGTTGCTGGTCCGATCCCGTTGCTGGTCCGATCCCGTTGCTGGTCCGATCCCGTTGCTGGTCCGATCCCGTTGCTGGTCCGATCCCGTTGCTGGTCCGATCCCGTTGCTGGTCCGATCCCGTTGCTGGTCCGATCCCGTTGCTGGTCCGATCCCGTTGCTGGTCCGATCCCGTTGCTGGTCCGATCCCGTTGCTGGTCCGATCCCGTTGCTGGTCCGATCCCGTTGCTGGTCCGATCCCGTTGCTGGTCCGATCCCGTTGCTGGTCCGATCCCGTTGCTGGTCCGATCCCGTTGCTGGTCCGATCCCGTTGCTGGTCCGATCCCGTTGCTGGTCCGATCCCGTTGCTGGTCCGATCCCGTTGCTGGTCCGATCCCGTTGCTGGTCCGATCCCGTTGCTGGTCCGATCCCGTTGCTGGTCCGATCCCGTTGCTGGTCCGATCCCGTTGCTGGTCCGATCCCGTTGCTGGTCCGATCCCGTTGCTGGTCCGATCCCGTTGCTGGTCCGATCCCGTTGCTGGTCCGATCCCGTTGCTGGTCCGATCCCGTTGCTGGTCCGATCCCGTTGCTGGTCCGATCCCGTTGCTGGTCCGATCCCGTTGCTGGTCCGATCCCGTTGCTGGTCCGATCCCGTTGCTGGTCCGATCCCGTTGCTGGTCCGATCCCGTTGCTGGTCCGATCCCGTTGCTGGTCCGATCCCGTTGCTGGTCCGATCCCGTTGCTGGTCCGATCCCGTTGCTGGTCCGATCCCGTTGCTGGTCCGATCCCGTTGCTGGTCCGATCCCGTTGCTGGTCCGATCCCGTTGCTGGTCCGATCCCGTTGCTGGTCCGATCCCGTTGCTGGTCCGATCCCGTTGCTGGTCCGATCCCGTTGCTGGTCCGATCCCGTTGCTGGTCCGATCCCGTTGCTGGTCCGATCCCGTTGCTGGTCCGATCCCGTTGCTGGTCCGATCCCGTTGCTGGTCCGATCCCGTTGCTGGTCCGATCCCGTTGCTGGTCCGATCCCGTTGCTGGTCCGATCCCGTTGCTGGTCCGATCCCGTTGCTGGTCCGATCCCGTTGCTGGTCCGATCCCGTTGCTGGTCCGATCCCGTTGCTGGTCCGATCCCGTTGCTGGTCCGATCCCGTTGCTGGTCCGATCCCGTTGCTGGTCCGATCCCGTTGCTGGTCCGATCCCGTTGCTGGTCCGATCCCGTTGCTGGTCCGATCCCGTTGCTGGTCCGATCCCGTTGCTGGTCCGATCCCGTTGCTGGTCCGATCCCGTTGCTGGTCCGATCCCGTTGCTGGTCCGATCCCGTTGCTGGTCCGATCCCGTTGCTGGTCCGATCCCGTTGCTGGTCCGATCCCGTTGCTGGTCCGATCCCGTTGCTGGTCCGATCCCGTTGCTGGTCCGATCCCGTTGCTGGTCCGATCCCGTTGCTGGTCCGATCCCGTTGCTGGTCCGATCCCGTTGCTGGTCCGATCCCGTTGCTGGTCCGATCCCGTTGCTGGTCCGATCCCGTTGCTGGTCCGATCCCGTTGCTGGTCCGATCCCGTTGCTGGTCCGATCCCGTTGCTGGTCCGATCCCGTTGCTGGTCCGATCCCGTTGCTGGTCCCCGGTCCGCTACGGGGGCAACACTGAGGGTTGTGATCCGTTGCCGGACACGGAAAAAGACAAAAGACAAAAAGAAAAAAAAAAAAAAAGCTGGCTGGTTAGCTCAGTTGGTTAGAGTGTAGCTTTATAACACCAAGGTCATAGGTTCAGTTCCCTGTACTGGCCAGCCACCAAAAAAAAAAAAGTTAGTATTAAAAAACATGCTGTTTTCTTATATATTTAATACCAAATGCAGTGTTTTAAATAATTTCAAATGGCAAATTATAATTTAATATTTTTTTCTAATTTACTTTAAAAAGTATTAAAAGTCATTTTATTTATTTATTTATTTTTTTGTGACCGGTAAGGGGATCGGAACCCTTGGCTTGGTGTCGCCCGCACCACACTCAGCCAGTGAGCGCACCGGCCATCCCTACATAGGATCTGAACCCGCTGCCTCGGCGCTCCCAGTGCTGCACTCTCCCGAGTGAGCCACAGGGTCGGCCCTAAAAGTCATTTTAGAAACAAGTTTTCATGCAGCTATATACAAACACATTAGATTAGCTTTTTGAGGTTAAAAGAAAAGAAAAATGTATTTTATTTTATAGTTGTTTTAGATATTAAATAATTGTGTTTATAATGTAATAATATTTAATGTTAGATATTATAACAGCTTTTAAATTAATAAAATGATAATAAGTATTTTTACATGTACTCACATAGGCACTGACCCTGCAATTAGAAAGACTAACTTTGGAATGTAATCAGAGAAGAAAAGTACTTGACCATGAACTTACAGAGACTCTAAGTGCACAGGTTGGCTTAATGAAGGTTTCTATTTCTTAATTTCCAAGGTGATATTTGCAAGAGCACTTAAATTCACAGAAATGTTGTTTGCTCTCTGTTTGACAGTTGGAATTGGATAAAGCAGCACAAGATTTTCGTAAGATTCATAATGAAAGACAAGAACTCATTAAACAGTGGGAGAACACAATAGAACAGATGCGGAAGAGGGATCAAGACATAGATAACTGTGCCTTGGTAAAGTAGCTGTTTGGTCCTTGAAATGTTCAGTTGTGTTTGTCTCCTTTGTATTTAACTTATTATTTCCAATTTAAGTCACATTGTTATTTGAAAGTCCCATTTGTAGCAGGATTCAATCATTTTGGTAAATGTTTTTGAAAGTTGACTGTATATCCACTTAGAAATATAATTTTATGAAGATTATTTGCTTATAGAAGACAGGATTCTGCCATCTCTTAACTGTGGAGCAATAGAGAGTCAACAGAGAGTGTTATTGCAGTAAAACCAATGCTCTGACTTACATATGGTTGTCCAAGGCGCCTTGGACATGTATGCTATTTGGCAGTAAGTTACAGGTGTAGAGAAATGAGCCTCCTTAGATAACCAAGAAACAAACAAACAAAAAGCTTAAACTGCAGTAAAGTTTCACTTCTGAAGCTGGGGCACCAATAATGACATAGAAGCTTAGAAAGGGGTCAGAAGCTCAGAAGAATCAATAACACAGACCTAGTGTTATTTATCTCTTGTTAGTTTCAGATGTAATTTAGGAGACTATTTTTGGGAAATCATTATGGAATGAAATCATTGTGAGTAAAAGTGGGAAGATCAGGAGGAGTTGGGAAGGAGAAGGAATTGAGAAGGAAAGAAGGCAGCGGAGAAGATATGTTAAATTCCATTCTGAATCTAGTCTGTGGAAAGGCATTTCAGTTACAGTACTTTGTGTATTCTATTTATTACTGTGTCTTCAAGACCAGCAAAAGGCCTGAGTGAAGAAATTCCTATTGAAACCAATAACTAAATTATTTTCAAAAGATGGAAAAAAAAAAAACTGGTCTGTGAAATATTTGAAAAATTTCATTGAAACCCAACTTTCTATGTGAAAGATGTTCAACACTGTTACATTTTTTTAGGATTACCCTTTGTGTATAAAAGCTTAACTGTTTTTTCATCTCTTTAGCCAAGTTCCAGATAGATAAAAGAAAATATAGAGACTGTTAATGATATAAGTTTATAGATACTAGTGTGTAACATATTAATATTTTGTTTTTATTTATATAAGAATTCTGTCTTTTAAAAAATACTCTCCTAAGAAGTTTTGGTAAAATAAATACTAGATATAATAATGGAAAAATAAAAACCAAATTCCTTTTAGTTTTGTCATTTTAAATGTATATTTAAGTAAATACATTTGTTTTAATGCAGGCATTAGCAAGGATAAAGCAGGAAACAAGAGAAAAAGAAAGTTTGGTTAAGGAAAAGATCAAGTTTTTGGAAAGTGAGATTGGGAATAACACAGAGTATGAGAAAAGAATCTCTGCTGCTGATCGTAAACTTTTAAAATGTAGGACGGAATATCAGCACCACGAAACTAATAGAAGTCAACTGAAGGATGAGGTAGGTCACCTAAAAAGATTGGTTGTGTATTCATGAAGAATTACTATAAAAATAAGCATAAAACCTTTCCTTTGATTGAGGAACTGCCTTCCAGTTCTTTTTGTTGCATTCCTTCGTTTTGTAGAACTATAAAGATACTCTGATTGAGCCCCCGAATGGCGAGGCACTAGGGAGTGCCGTTCACATCACAGGTGGTGTGAAGGACTCCCCCAGAGTTGTTCAGTGCCCAACTTGCCTGCCACAGATGGTGGTCTGCAGGGGACCTGAGGCCAAATGCTCTTTAGTGGTCTAGATGAGAAATCATAATGACAAGAAACAGGCACATGTAAAGATGAATATTGACATAATATTATGAGTGAGTGAAACTTGAAGTATCTTCCCAGTGCTTCATGTGTATGTAGGTGATGGTTTAACTGTCAAATTCTAGGTGAAGCTACTGAACTTAAGTTCAGCTTCTCACTTTGTTAGATAATATTTCAGTATGGTAGCAGGATAATGTGATAAAATATCTTGAAACAATAAGAGAGAACAAAACTTTCCCTGCCTTGTTCTTTTCTTCTTTTTCAGGCATATATGTCAACTAGACTATTCCTTAGGGAGAGTGAGTGATTCTCTTTAGTTACCAATAAAGGGATCTTTATGAAATTTCTGGTTTGAGGCCATCTTATCTGAAGCTACTACTGTTTAGGTGGAAAATTGGAATATTACAGAGCATTTTATTCTGTAAGGTGCTAATCTTTTTTTAAATCTCTGATAGAGAAGGAAAGATTTTTCTTCTGTCCAAAGAGAATAATTACATAAGATTCTTGAAAAGTAAAACAAGGGAATTTCTTGCCTAAATTACATGTCACTGCTGATAGCTCATTCTTAAAAATTTCAAAGTTTAAACCAATTGCAGAAAAGAATGCAGGGATTGATTGACTCATTAATTCTTTCCTTCATTCATAATTTATTTATTGAGATATAATTCACATACTATAATTCGCCCTTTTAAAGTGCACAATTCAGTGATTTTTAGTATCTTCACAGAGTTGTGAAAACATCACCACTATCTAATTTTAGAATGTTTTTGTCACTCCCCTAAAGAAACTCTATTTCCCTTAGCTGTCAATCTTTATTCCCTCCTTCTCCAAACCCCTAATAACCACTAATCTACTTTTGGTCTCTATGAGTTTGCCTATTCTGGATGTTTCATATAAATTAAATTATATAATATGAGGGATCTTCAAAAAGTTCATGGAAAATGCATATTATGAAAAAAGTATGCACGGATTTCAAATTTTTGCACCAAAATAAACTTGTATTAACTTGTTATAACATGTCTGGACAGGATCTAGTTTGAGGCAACAAAAAACACAAGGCATCAGTTTGAAAAGAGCCCCTATCAGAACAACATGAATTCTGCTAAGGTTGAAGCAATAACAAACATCAAATTTACAGTGAAGCTTGGGTGAAAAAATAGTGAAATCACTGATGCTTTATGAAATGTTTATGGAGACCATGCCTCCCCACAAAATCAGCAGTTTTCAATGAAGCACTTGTTTTCAGAAGGGATGAGATGATGCTGAAGGGATGAGATGAAGCCCACAGTGGCAGAACATCCACACCAATTTGTGAGGAAAAAATTAATTTTGCTCATGCCCTAATTGGAGAGGACCGATGATTAACAGCAGAAACAATAGCCAACACCATAGACATCTCAACTGGTTCAGCTTACACAATTTTGACTGAAAAATTACAGTTGAGCAAACTTCCTGCTCAATGGGTACCAAAACTGTTGTGCCCAGTTCAGCTGCAGACAAGAGCAGAGCTTTCAATGGAAATTTTCAGCAAGTGGGGTAAGATCCTGAAGCATTTCTTTGAAGAATTATAAAAGGAGATGAAACATGGCTTTATCAGCATGATCCTGAAGACAAAACACAATCAAAGTCTTGGCTACCAAGAGGTGGAAGTGATCCAGTCCAAGCAAAGGTGGACCAGTCAAGAGCAAAGGTCATGGCAACAGTTTTTTGGGATGTTCAAGGCATT